GATTCTTCCCACCAAATCTGCCCTCCCACCCACATTCCCACCCTTCTTCCTCACTCTCCTATTCCATTCTTATTTTTTCCTAAGATCTACTTTCGATTAACTTCATACACATACGATTAACTCTATACTAGTAGAGAGTTCAACAAATAATATAAAAAAAAAAAAAAAGAAAAAAACCTGTTCTTGAATAGTCGAGACAAGGAATATTCAGTCATTGCATCTCAAAGTGTCAATTTCACTTCTATAGATTACCTTTTAGGTACTCTATTAGTTATCACAGATCAGGGAGAATATGTGGTATTTGTCCTTTTGGGACTGGCTTATTTCACGAATAAGTATAATGTTTTCCAGTTCCATCCATTTTGTTGCAAATGACAGGATTTCTCTTTTTTTTAACTGCTCTGCAGTACTCTATGGTGTACATATCCAATAATTTCTTTATCCAGTCTTCAGCTGATGGATATTTGGGTTGACTCCATATCTTAGCTGTTGTGATTTGAGCTGCAGAGATGAAATTTTAGGAGTTAAGAAATCGAATATTCGAGTACCTTCTGTATACAAGTATTCTTCATTTTATATTAATCCCTAACCCCGGTTAAATAGACCGTTTGTTAATCATTTGCAAAATAACATGTTAGTGGTTAGAAAGATAATTTCAACTTCTTTCACATATTAACTATTGACTCTTAATAATTTTAAAAATTTTAAAAATTATTTTGAAAGATTAAAATCAACTGACCATCTTTTCCTTCTTAAATCTTGTGCTCAAATGATGTATTTGGTGAGAAATGGTCTTGAATAAAAGTGATTTTTTTTTTTGTAGGAAGGAACTTCGGCTGTAGAGAATTTGAATGAAATGCAGTGTATGTGGTTCCAGACAGAATGTGCCCAGGCTTATAAAGCAATGAATAAATTTGGTGATGCACTTAAGAAATGTCATGAGATTGAGAGAGTAAGTACCTTATACGTATGAGTTTCTCATTTTACTTCATTATAAGATGAAGATTTGTGGCAAATCCTATATTTTTCTATTCTCTTTATAATTCAGAATATGTAATTTTAACATCAACATTCACTTTTCAATTCTTATAATGGAAATATTGTAAATCGTATTTTCAGCCAACTTATCTGTTGGCTAATCTTATTGTTTATGGGAAGTTTCTATCTTGGGATTTTTTTCTTAAAATTGATATTTGAACCTTTCAAATTGCTTCTGCTTCTCCACTGGAAAATGAAAGCTCATTAAGTGATCTTAGAACTGATGTTTTGGGATTGTTGGTGATACTATGCACCCTGTTAATATATAAGCTTTGAAGCTTTTTTACAATGTTTCTAAAGTTTGTCTAATACTAGTCAGTGTTTCTTAGTCCCCATCACTTGATTAATTTTGCTAGTAGTTGGCATTCCTGTGTTATATATTTTTTTTCACATAGTTTATGTTTTACTTTTGTTATATTTCAATTATAAAACATCAGAACAGAGCTGAAATGTGGAAGTTGCTGGTCGCTTAACTTGTTGATTTCTTTTTCCCAAATATCATCATTATATTACAAAGTTAAAATTTGGATTCTTAAAAAGTTCCAAATACTCCATATTATAATCCTTTGCAAGCTGTTCTTAACAAAAAAAGCTCGTTGTTTGTTTAACATGTGAAGCTACTGTAATATACCATTTTGTATACTAATCAGTTATGTTTGTTTTTTCATTATAACTTAAGTGTGATTCAATGGATTGAAGCATTGTTCTTCTCTTTTATTCAATAAATAATTTAGTGCCTGCCACTTGTCATATCTTGTGTTAGGTAGTGGCCAACTATTTGCTTATATGCAAAGTGTTTCTATTAAATAATTGTAATTAAAATTTAAGAAATTTACTAACCTTTTTATGCCACAGAAACATGTAATCCCAAGGGCTTTGATTTTTATATTTTTCTTCAGTATTGGTATACTTCAGTATAATAAAAAGATAATTTTGTTAGCATTTTATAGAAATCACTGACGACCAGTTTGACTTTCATACATACTGTATGAGGAAGATTACCCTTAGATCATATGTGGACTTATTAAAACTAGAAGATGTACTTCGACAGCATCCATTTTACTTCAAGGCAGCAAGAATTGCTATAGAAATCTATTTGAAGCTTCATGACAACCCTCTTACAGATGAGAATAAGGAACATGAAGCTGATACAGGTATAATATTCAAAGATTTCTTACTATTTGCTTTGATGTGTGCTTATGTATTTATTTACAGTAGAGAAATATACAGTGCATAAACGTTGTCTGTAGTCACCCTATTGTATAATAGAACCCCAGAACTTCCTACTACTACCTAACTATAGTACCCATTAATCATTCTCCCCATTCCTTCCCTCCCCAGCCTAAGGTAATCACCATTACAATTTTAGTTTCTTTGGACCCCACATATGAATGAGATCATGCAGTACTTGTCTTTCTGTGCTTGGCTTATTTCACTTAATGTAATGACCTCCAATTTCTTTCTTTCTTTCTTTCTTTTTTTTTTTTAAGATTTATTCATTTTATTTGAAAGTCAGAAGTGGAGGGAGGATGGAGAAAGAGAAAGAGGGAGCGAGATCTTCCATCTACTGGTTTACTCCCCAAGTGGCTGCCATGGCCAAGGCTTAGCCAGGCCAAAGCCAGGATCCAAGAGCTTCATCTGAGTCTCCCAAAGGGCCCAAGAACGTGGGCCACCTTCTACTGCTTTTCCTGGGTTATTAGCAAGGAGCTGGACTGGAAATGGATTAGCTAGGACATAAACCTGTGCCCACATGGAACGCTGGTGTCGCAGGCAGTAGCTTTTCCCAGTAGACCACAATGTCATCCCCTAAAAAATATTTATTTCTTTCAGGGCTGCAAGAGACAACTATACATGGAAAGTTCCTATCTGCATGTTCTCTCCCCAAATGCCTGTAATGGCTGGGTAGCCAAGGCCCGAAGTTGAGAACTAAGTACAGGTCTCCCACATTGGTGGCAGAAATCCAATCACTTGAGCCATCATTGTTGCTTTCCAGTTCTGCATTATAGAAAGTAGAAATAAGGAGCCAGAACTGATTGTTAAACCCAGACAGTCTAATATGGAATATGGGATTCCTAACTGGCTGCAGGTTAGCCATCAAGCCAAATGCCCATCTCTGATTTTAAGTTTTACTTTTTTAAAATTTATTTTAAAAATTTGAAAGGCAGAGTTACACAGAGAGAGGTAGGGGAGAGAAACAAGAGATCTTCCATCTGCTGATTTGCTCCTCAAATGGCCACAACAGCCATGGCTGGGCCAGGCTGAATCCAGGAGCCAGGAGCTTCCTCTGGATCTCTCACATGGGTGCAAGGATCCAAGCACTTGGGACATCTTCCACTGCTTTCCCAGGTGCATTAGCAGGGAGCTGGCCAGAAATGGAGCAACTGGGACTTGAAGTGGTGTCCATGTGGGAGCCAGTATTACAGGCGGTTGCTTTACCTGCTATGCCACAGTGCCGGCCTCACCCCATTTTGAATTTTTGATGTCCCATTTACCTCTCTATATTCTTTTTCTCTTAACTAGCTGTTACTATTTTTACTTATTTTTTAAGATTCATTTAGTTGAAAGGCAGAGACACAGATAGAATGGTAGAGAGACTCTTCCATCCACTGGCTCTCTCCCCAAATGTCTGGGGCTGGGCCAGGTTGAAGCCAGGAGCTTCTTCCGGGTCTCCCACATGAGTACAGGGGCCCAAGCACTTGGGCTAACTTCCACTGCCTTCCCAGGCCATTAGCAGGGAGCTAGATTGAAAGCAGTACAGCTGGGAATTGAACCAGCTCTCCAGCATGTTCTATCAAGACACAGATCTCCAAGCTGATACTAGATTAAGTCTAGAGACTTCACTGGCACTTATCTAGAGATGATCATATTTAGGATCTGCCCAGTGCTGGTGTTTTACTAGTCCTGTACTGAGTCCCCAGGCGTAGTCTTGTGGTTTCTTGCTCACTGACCAAGGTTGAAGGAGAGGAAATAAATGCAATCCCTTCATTGCCCAGATGGCACTAGGTTGGGTCACAACTGAGTCTTAAAACCATTGGGCCCTGTGAAGTCTTGGGAGTTCTCTCCTGGCCTACTTAAGGCTGATGATGATACACATTGAAATGAATTTATCCCTCTGGAGAGCAGATCTCTACCTGATGCTGGGGCAAGTCTCAAAGCGCTTTTATTATTTATTTATTCTTAAAGATTTGTTTTATTTATTTGAAAGAATTAGAGAGAGAGATGTCTTCCATCTGCTCATTTACTCCCTGAATGGCAGCAATGGCCTGAGCTGAGCTAATACAAAGTCAGGAGCCAGGAGCTGATTCTGGGTCTCCCACATGGGTGCAGGGGCCCAAACACTTGGGCCATCCTCTGCTGCTTTCCCAGGTACATTAGCAGGGAGCTAGATGGGAAGTAGAGTAGCCAGGACTCAAACCAGTGTCCATATGGGATGCCGGCGCTGCAGGCCAGGGCTTTAAGCTGCTGTGCCACAGTGCCAGCCCCTGGAAGCGCTTTTGGAGAACACTGGCCTAGAAGGAAAGGCCTTTGAGCTTTATTAGGTACTGGGTCTCTGGGTAAGTGTCTGATGCTAAAGCAAGGTTCTAAGTTCCCTCCTCTGCTCTGCTTTACTGTAGTTGGAGTCTTTTGCTCTCTGCTGATATCTTCAGAGTTGAGGGAGGGGTAGCAGAGGCTGGCTGGCAATGGCAGGTCCATCTACTATGTCTGATGGTATGGCTCTGGGGGCAGGGGCTTTGGTTCCTCTCCAGCTCTAAATTTTATCGTGGTGGGGCTGGTAATGGCATTCAAGTCTAAGGACTGGACTTTGTTCCCTCTTTCTCCGAAATGGAAGTTCTCTCTCTCCATGCTAAGGTATTTCAAGCTTGGGGAGGGATAAGGTAGGGAGCTCCTTCCTGTTTTATGCACTGCAAGTTTTTTTCTTTCCTTTTTTTTTTTTTTTTTTTTTTTTAAAGATTTATTTATTTATTTGAAAGGCAGAGGTACACAGAGAAAGGAGAGGCAGAGAGAGAAAGGTCTTCCATCCGTTGGTTCACTCCCCAGTTGGCTGCAGTGTCTGGAGCTAGGCCGATCTGAAGCTAGGAGCCTAGGAGCTTCTTCGGGTCTCCCACGTGGGTGCAGGGGCCCAAGGACTTGGGCCATCTTCTACTGCTTTCCCAGGCCACAGCAGAGAGCTTGATTGGATTGGAGCAGCTGGGATTTGAAGCAGCACCCATATGGAATGCTGGCACTGCAGGTGGCAGCTTTACCCGCTAAGCCACAGCACCGGCTCCTGCAGGCTTTTTTTTTTATTACCATACTAAAACCAGGCACTGTGGTTTCTCACCTGGCTTCTGTAACTGTTGTGAAGATGACTTTGTGCTTCATGTGTTCATAGCTGTTTAAATTGGTATCTTTCTTGGGGGAGATAGTCACTGGAGCATTATTCAGCTGCCTTGTTGCTACAATTCTTGTTTGTATTTTTTTTGGTTTTGAGTAATGCACATTTTTCCTGATCTCTTTATTGATTTCCCTGTGGGAGGAAGTTATACATTAGTTAAAAAATGTTTATTTTATGAATTTCTCTAAGCAATAGGAATTGTTTATGTGTATACTTTCCATATAACTTAAATAAGAATTTAATTGGTTCCTGGTCATCAGTATTTAAAAAGATTGAACTAAATAAGTTGTGGAATTCATGACTACTTTGTATAAATTGCTATCTGCACACCTTGTTGCAAGTCTTCATTAGTGATGGCTGTTAGTATAGCTAGTTATTCCTTTTTAAATATTAATTCATAATTAACTTACTAAAAATGAAAGCTAGCTTGGAATTCACCTAGGAAAATTGTCCAGTGACTTGTCTTTCTTTATTTAAAAATAGATTATGCATGTATTTATTTATTTGAAAGGTGTAGTGGCAGAGAGACAGAGGGAGAAACACTCTTTCATCCCCTGGTACGTTCCCTATATGGCTGCAGTGGCCTAGACTGGGCCAAGCCAAAGCAAGGAGCCTGGGACTCTATCTCGGTCTCCCTTGTATGGCCTCCCAGAGGCCCATATAGGTATCAGGGACTTTTTTTTTTTTTTTTTTTAAGATTTATTTGAAAGTCGGAGTTAAACAGAGAGAAGAGAGGCAGAGAAAGAGAGGCATCCTATCTGATGGTTCACTCCCCAATTGGCCGCAACGACTGGAGCTGCACCGATCTGAAGCCAGGAGCCAAGAGCTTCTTCCAGGACTCCCACGTGGGTGTAGGGGCCCAAGGACTCGGGCCATCTTCTACTGCTTTCCCAGGCCATAGCAGAGAGCTGGATCGGAAGGGGAGCAGCCGGGACTAGAACTGGTGGCAGGGGCCGTCTTCTGCTTTCCCAAGCATATTAGCGATGAGTTGGATTGAAAGCAGAGCAGCTGGTAGTTGAACCAGCTCTCCTATATGGTGTGCTGGTGTTGTAGGGGACTATTTAACCTCCTGCACCACAGCACTGGCCCTGGTGACTTATCTTTATCCATTTCTATGTGTGATTTTTATTTAGCATATCAGTATAGAGACAAATCTTCAGTTATTTAGGAAGGAATCTCAGAATAAAATTGAATGTCTCAATATCTTGTGACTGATTTATGACAACTCCTATGATGAATTGACAAGTCCTTTTAAGAGGCAGATAATACAGAATAGGGCCACAAAGTATAGACTGTGGGTCACATCTGTTCTTCAGTCTGTTATAAATAAAATTCTGTTGGAACATAGCTAAGTATATTTATGCTTATATTATATCTGTGGCTGATTAGCTGAGGCCTGTGAATTGCAAAGCTGAAAATACTTACCATCTTGCCCATTCTAGGATGTTTGCTAGTCCTTTAACATAGTTGAAAAAGCTTAGATTTTTAAGTCACCATGAAATATATTTAAATCCTTGCTCTTCCTTTTATTATCATTCAGTTGTCATTTTTTATTTGAAACTACAGTTTTTTCATATAGTTATTTCTCAGTATTCCTCTTCAGATACAGATGCTCAAGCCCTTTATATAAAATGGCATAGAGTAATGCGTGACCCTAGGAGGAAGCAGTGATGACTCAAGTAGTTGGGTTCCTGCCTGGATCTGTTTCTGGCTCCTGGCTCTAATCTCAGCTATTGCATGCATTTGGAGTGTGAACCAGTGGATGCATGCTTTTGCTTTGCCTCTGTCTCCGTCTTTGCCTCTCAAATAAAAAAATAAAATTTAAAATGTCATTGTTTGCACATAACCTATGCACATCCTCCCATATACTTTAAATTGTGTCTAGATTATTTATAATACCTATTATATAAATGCTAAGCAATTATATGTTACATGTATTGCTTAGGAAATAAGGACAAAAAAAGGTCTATGTGTTCAATATCAGTGCATTCCCTCTGTCACCCCAAATGTTTTTGGCCTTTAGTTGGTTGAATCCAAGGATATAGAACTTGGGGATACAGTGGGGTGACTATGTAAAATGCTTTTACACTAATCCATGAGGTTATTGAGAACATTAATATATTTAACATGTAGCAAGAATGCAAGGAGTAGCAATTATTTTACATGTCATTGAAAGATTAACATTCACTAATTAGTCCTTGTTTAAAATTTCATTTTTCTCATTTTGATAGAAAAAGAGAAATGGGTATGCATTTTGTTTTGGCTATTGTATTATTTGTTGCTGCATACTAAATTATCTGAAAATTTAGAACTTAAAACAACCATTTCTGTGGATCAGGAATTGGGATAAATGTAAAGGTAGACTGGCTCAGAATCTCTTGAGAAGTTGAGCATAAGATTTTGGCTGGGACTGCAGTTACCTGAAGGCTTAGACTGGAATAGCCATTTGTTCATGCACATGGCCTTTGGCAGGAAGCTCTAGGTCTTAATCTCTCCATAGGATTTCTAAAGTCCCTCAGGCTGTGATAGCTAGCCATGAGAACGAGCAGTGAAGAAGCTTTCTGGTGGTCCATTCTCGTGATCACTAGACTTTTCTCTTGACTTCTACTAACTTTACATGGTATCTGGTCAGAGGGGAGTTGCCAAGTAGGGGAAGAGAACTGAAGAATTTATGAACACGTCTTTTACCATAATGATTTGCATTCTGTACAAATTTATTGTCCTTTCTGAGGCCTTTAGGAGCCTTATCCGTTACAGCATTGACTTAGGATCTATAGTGTTTTCATATGAATATATCAAGCATAGGTGCTTATGTATCAAGCATAGGTGCTATACTCCTTGAGTATAGCTTGCTTTCCCTCTTTTGAAGTATAGCTTTTCAAACAGTTCTTGATAATAAAATCCTATGAACTTAAAGAGACAAGTTATATACCCATGATAAAATTATGGGACAAGCATAGGATGATAGCTATATATACAGTCTCAGGAGGTACACAGATGTTAATGGTTCATGTCAATTTTCAAGTACAGTGGGATACAGGTTAATAATTCTTAGATTAGGACCCATATAAGTAATTTTATGACTCTCTGTCCTGCCCTCTGTGTTCTTGGTTCTACTTTTGAATCATTATTCCTTTTTTTTGAAATTCAGTATATTTGTTTTCAACTACATAATATTTAATCTGCTTCCTACCAGTAAAATTTTGAAAGTCTAAAGGCTTCTTTTTCATTTTGTAATGTCTCTGTTACTTTTAATCCAATTCTTTCATAGAATTCTCTTTTTAAAAAAATCATAAGTTTTTTGTGACTCATTCTATATTGGATTCTGCATGCACCTTGACCTTCTGCTGGTAGGAGAATACCCTTAAGTTTTTCCCATCTTTGGATTGATTGATTGACTGAAGGAGTAATAAAGGGGGAGGGAACAAATGATTTATTGAAGATTTATTGAAACTGGCTCTGTGGTGTAGAAGATTGAGCCTCTGCCTGCAGTGCCAGCATCTTATATGGGCATAGGTTCAAGTCCTGGCTGCTCCACTTCTGATCCAGATCCCTGCTAATGCTCCTGGAAAAGCAGCGGAAGATGGCCCAAGTATTTGGGCCCTTGCACCCATGTGGGAGACCTAGAAGAACCTCTGGCTTCCCCCGGCCCAGACCCAGCCATTTGGGGAGTGAGCCAGAGGACAGAAGATCTCTTTCTCTCCCCCTCCCTCTCCCTTTCCCTTTCCCCCTCCCCCTCTTCCTCCTCCCCTCCCCCTCCCTCTCCCCTTCCCTCCCTCCCTCTTCACCCCCTCCTCCCTCCCCTTTTGAATAAGAGTTACAGAATGAAAGAGATCTTCCTACATGGTCACAATAGCCAATACTGGGCCAGGCCAATTCCAGGAGCTTGTTCTGGGTCTCCCAAATGGGTGGCAGGGGTCCAAGCACCTGGGCTATTATCTGCTGCTTTCCCAGAGTATTAGCAGAGACCTGGATTTGAAGTGAAGCAGATGGCCCATGAACCAACACCCAGTACAGGATGCCATTATGACAGACAGCCTCACGACTAGGCCACAGTGCTAGCCTCATGTGTGATGTCTTCTGTTTACTAGTTCCCTCCTTAAATGCCTGCAACAACCAGGGCTTGGTGAGGCCAAAGCTAGAAGCCTGGAATTCTATCTGGGTCTTCCACTTGGATGATAGGGGTGCCAAGCACTCTCCATCATCTGCTTCACCCCTGGATGCATTGACCAGGAGCTGGATTGCAAGTGGAGTAGTCTGGATTTGAAACTGTGCTCCAATGTGGAATGTTAAAATCCTAAGCAGGAGCTTAACCTGCTAGACCGCAGTGTTCATCTCCACTCTTAAGTCTTAATAGCTTTATTGATTGAGAAGATCTGTGAGTCACATTTTTTAGAGATTGTTTCTTCAGACTGATTGATTCTCTGAGGCACCATCTTTCTGAGTTTTGAGTCCTTTGCTTTCCCTCATGACACATTTGCTGACAATATATTAGACTTGATCTTTTGTTCAGCAGTCATTTCTGGAAAGATGAGTTTTAACACTGGCTAAAATTTCTATTATGGCTGTAACATATTTTCACTTGACTTAAAGCTTCACCTGTAATCTACTCAAAGTCAGACACAAACTCTTCAGGCTTTTCAGTGGGCATTGTGGTACAGTGGTAAAGACGCCACTTGGAAGGCCCACATCCCATATAGGAGTGCCTGGTTTAGAGTCCAACTCTGCTTTTATCTAGCCTCCTGCTGGGAGAGGCAGTAGGGGTTGGCTCAAGAAATTGGTCCTTGACATGTATATTGGAAATGGAGTGTCAGGCTTGTGACTTTGGCTTGGCCCAGGTCTGGTTGTTACAGGCATTTGTAATAAATAAGCCTTTCAAATAAATTATTAATTTTAAAAATTAAGGTAAAGCATATAAAGCATTTTCAGGTTTCACTAATGTATTGCTCAAAGTCTGTCCACCTTTTGCCACTCTGGGTTCTCAAGGCAGTCCTACATTTTGTGTTTTTGTTATAATGGCATTGTACTTCCAGGTACTAAAATCTCCATTGGTTATCTATTGATGGAAAACAAATTATTCAAAAACACAGCAGCTTTACATAACAAACAATTACTATATTAAAGTTATATGACTTAGGTATGTGGTTCTAAGACTGTTTCTCAGGAGGTTGAAGTCAAAATGTCCGCCAGGGCATCTGAAGGACTAACTTGGATTGGAGGGTATACTTCCAGGATGGCTCACTCTGGTGACCAGGAGCTTCAGTTCTTAGCCACATGTCTTTGCATTTAGTTGGGTTTTCTTATGATGTGGCAGCTGGCTTCCTCTAAATGATTCAGATAAGCCAGTAAGTATATAGCTCATATTTAAATGGATGGAAAATGATGTCTGCTTTTTTAAATTTTTTGAAAACTCGAGAGCAAGAGCACATATATGCTCTAACCTGCTGATTCACTCCCAGATACCCATAGTTACTGGAGCTGAGCTGGGCTGATGCTAGGAACTGGGAATGCAATCCAAGTCTCCAATGTGGGTGGCAGGAACCCAATTACTTGAGTGATTACCATTGTCTCCCAGGGTCTGCAAAGGCAAGAAGCTGGAGTCAGATGCCAGAGCCAGTATCAAAACCATGTGCTTTGATGCTTGAAGTATAAGCAATGCATATTTTTTATATAATAGCATTTGTCGATGATTTTCAGCCTTTCTTTTGAGGCATTCCACAGTCTGTACCGAGGGTTATTGTTAATTTTCAATATCATATTTTTTAATTTGCCAATAGAGTTACACATTTATTCTGTCAACAAATATTTAAATGTTTTCTGTATCTTTAGACGTGCCATTAGGCCCTGAGAATATGAAGATTATGAGTAAGACAGGGATAATTCCACCAAAGAGCTCACAGTATTAAAAAAAGACAGATATAGAAAGGAAGTAGTGTGACAAACAAAATATATTATGCTTGATGGCAGCACAGAGAAGAGAATGAATAACTGGCCAGATTAGAGGCCATGGGCATCGTACAGAGCCACTGAAAATCAACAACTTGATTATACTTCATTTTGTGTGAATTATAAATTCTGTTAATAGTTGAAGATAGTTTAATATTGCTGGAGGAACTTGTATGCTTTGCCACGGTTGTTACATGCTTACATGCATACCCACTTGGTTTCAGAAAATTTTTTCTAAAATGGTTACATTATCTGCTATCTAGTGGGGGAGCCATTAAAGACTAGATATAGACAGACATGTTTACATGCAGACCTTGCAGTATTTTTATGGGAGCTTGTCAGGGAATATTAAATAATGGAAGGTGATCATTACTACTCTGGGGTAACATGGCTAATAATTTCATTAATTAACACTTATTGCCTGCAGCAAACATGTCTGACAAAGAGCTAAAGAAACTACGTAATAAGCAAAGAAGAGCTCAAAAGAAAGCTCAAATAGAAGAAGAGAAAAAAAATGCAGAAAAAGAAAAGCAACAGAGAAATCAGAAAAAGAAGAAGGATGATGATGATGAGGAAATTGGAGGTCCAAAAGAAGAACTTATCCCTGAGAAACTGGCCAAGGTACTTAGTTATGGTGCTCAGCGCAACGGAGGAGAATTTCATGACTAGCTACTCTCGTTTATATAATGTCTTAGCACCAGTGTGATTGTACGCTTTAGAGTCGAATATCATTCTCATTTTTAGTTTTCAGTATATCCTAGTTCAGAGTAATTTAGTGTAGTGTAGTGGAAAAAGTTTTGGCTCTTGAGTCATTCTGATTTGGGTCTAGATATCAGCTCATAAACTCATAATTTCACTGTGTGCCCTGGATGTTTTGTCTATATCCAAATGGTTTTCCCATCCATAAAATGGGAATAAGGAAAGCCTTTATTAGGACTAGAGAAAATACATATACATGTATAGTTGCATACAAGTTCTTTATATCTAAATTCAGCTTGCTAAACTGACATCTACCTGTATCTCACTTACTCAAGATGTTGAGTTTACAGTATTTCTTTATTAGCTTTCCACATTTAAACTTAGCATCTTAAAAATCTCCAAATATTTTCCTCAAGCTAAAATCTGATCTGGTCTGATTGTTTTTTAGCCATTAAGCTGAAACCTCATTTTGATTAATAACAAAATTAGCTCTTGACCTTGATATCTTCCTACTCCAAATGAAAATAATTTCACAATTTACTATGTTAAAGCAATATAATAATAAACACATGGGCTTATTAGACTTTAATTTCAACATGACTAGCATAAAAATTCAAATTCATTTATTTGCTTTACAACTAAGAAAAATTACAATACCAAATGGAATTGGAAAATAACTTTTGGTCTTAAACCAGAGCAGGTGGGCTGTAACTTTACATAGACATAGTAATATTGGTATAAGAAAATAGGAGAATCTAGAATCTCCTAAGGGTATATTGTTTTTGTTTTTTGTGGACAGTGAGAGAGAGAGACAGAAAGGTCTTCTTTTACTGTTGGTTCACCCTCCAATGGCCGCTGCGGCCGGCGCGCTGCGGCTGGTGCACCGCGCTGATCCGATGGCAGGAGCCAGGTGCTTCTCCTGGTCTCCCGTGGGATGCAGGGCCCAAGCACTTGGGCCATCCTCCACTGCACTCCCTGGCCACAGCAGAGAGGTGGCCTGGAAGAGGGGCAACCGGGACAGAATCCGGCGCCCCGACCGGGACTAGAACCCAGTGTGCTGGTGCCGCAAGGCGGAGGATTAGCCTAGTGAGCCACGGTGCCGGCTGTAAGAGTATATTGTTAATACACCCAAATAATTGTACATCAGCTGGCCACAGATTATTCCTTTTTGTTGTTTGCTATTGTAAGAATACACAGGTAAGTAAGGAAGCCCAGAAAGTTGACCTTTTAGGCTTCAAGGAAAATTGCAGTAATTCAGGACCTAAGATCAACTTTAGGGGCCTCCCATCTTTATGCCTGCACTTCCCTTAATGATACCACTTTTACCACCATATCTCTACTCACTTTTCCCTTTATTTGATGACTTTTTTCTTTGTAACTCTTCATGACTTCATGTGGTTATTAAAGAGAGAATCTGTTTGGATTTTTTAGTCACTATCTAAAAAGGACTACCTTTACAGAATAGAATTCTTAAAGCAGACCTCCTTATAGACTTTAAAGTTTTTCTTGTGTCCAGGCTGTTGTGGTTGCCTTTGGACTAAATGTCAAGTTGTGGTCTAATTATTTCGAGCCTGTTGCAGAGTCTTGAAACGAAAAATGGTGTCCCTATCTAATAGCTTCCAGATTTATCCATCTTTCTAAAGTGGTGGCAATACTAAATTACACAAAGCCTTTATAACTAGGTTTAACGCTGTAGACATTTTTATTTTTTTTATTTTTTGACAGGCAGAGTGGACAGTGAGAGAGAGAGACAGAGAGAAAGGTCTTCCTTTGCCGTTGGTTCACCCTCCAATGGCCGCTGCGGCCAGCGCACCACGCTGATCCGATGGCAGGAGCCAGGTGCTTCTCCTGGTCACCCATGGGATGCAGGGCCCAAGCACTTGGGCCATCCTCCACTGCACTCCTGGGCCACAGCAGAGAGCTGGCCTGGAAGAGGGGCAACCGGGACAGAATCCGGCACCCCGACTGGGACTAGAACCCGGTGTGCCGGTGCCGCAAGGCGGAGGATTAGCCTAGTGAGCCACGGTGCCAGCCAAGACTGTAGACTTTTAAAGCTCCCTATCAAGTCTGGGTCTATGGTCTGTCGTGGGTCCCCCTCCCCCTACGTAATACCAGATTCTCCCATGTAGTAAGTGGTAAATTTAGTGTTGCCAGTTCAGAATTTTTTATTTTTATATATATCTCAAAGCATTGTTAAAGTTAGCAATAATTTACTTAAGAAGGAGAAAAGAAAAATGGGAAAGTTTTAGTTAGTAAGTCATTTTAAACTTTCTGTTGCTATGCTGGGGATAGTAACATACTTCTTTATAAATTTTTATTTTATTTTATTTTATTTCCACTTTATTTCAAAGAGAGAGAGATCTTCCATCTGCTGATTCATTCCCCTAATGCCTGCAACAGTCAGGGATGGGCTAGGCTGAAGCCAGGAGCCCTGAACTCCATGTGAGTCTCCCATGTTGGTGGCAAGGACTCGAGTACTTGAATCATCATGTTGTGCCTCCCAGGATGCATTATATAGAAGCTAGATCAGAAGTGGAACTGGGACTCGAACTAGGCACTACAATATGGGATGCAGTTGTCCCAAGAAGTGACTTAAGCTGCTCCACCAAATTCCTACTCCTATATAGTGTATCTTAACATGGCAAATCGATTTCAAGTCAGTTTATGAATAAGAGTTGCATATAGGTAGAACTGTCATTGCAAATATCTTAAATTGCTTATCAATCACAGTGCAGTTCCATTCTACATGCATTTAACTTAAATGAATTCAACTCTTCATGATTGAAGTTTGTTGTTTTTTGCTTGAGAGACAAGAATATGAATAATGCTTTATTCTACTCAGAGAACATAGGACCCCATGACAGGTATGCCTGCCATTTGTGTAGTTGATTTCAGTTCTTGTGTACCTCACTTAGTATGACCATCTTGCTAGGATTATTATTTTGGCACTTAAAATTTTCAGGGGTTAGCATTGTGGAGTAGCAGGTAAAGCCAGCATCTGCATCCCATATGGGTACTGGTTTGAGTCCTTCTTTATTTCTGATCTGGCTCCCTGCTAATGTGTCTGGGAAAAGCAGCAGAAGATGGCCCAAGTATTTGGGACCCAGCCAACAACCATGTGGGAGACCTGGATGAAGTTCCTGGCTTTGGCCTGACCCATTATTGGCTGTTGCAGCCAACTGGGGAGTGAACCAGCTGATTGAAGAGCTCTCTGTTTCTGTTAACTCTTGACTTTTAAAAAAAGATAAGATTCATGCTCAGAATGCGAACTAGTTACAAATTTATATATCTGCCCATTTCTTTTTTTTAACTTAAAGGATTTTCAAGGCAGTTTTGAATTTTTTCCTCCTTTAAGGCATTGATTGTATAATCTCGTTTCTGTTTACATGTGTTTGTATACGTAACCTTGTTGTGCATTAGTGTGTGTAAATGTAGAATTTGATTACCTTATGTACATGTTTTTAAATTTATTTTAAATGATTATTTATTTGAAAGGGGGGAGAAAGAGAGAAATAGAGGTAGGTAGACAGATACATATGTCTTCCATCTACTGGTTCGCACTCCCCAGATGGCTGCAATGGCTGGGGCTGGGTCAGACTGAAGCCTTGAGCCTGGAATTCCATTCAGGTCTCCCAGCTTGGATGACGGGAGCCCAAGTATCTTGGGCTATCTTCATTCCTTCCACTGCTTTCCCAGGTGAATTATTGGAAGTAGAGCGTACAAGACTTGAACCTTCCCTCCTATGGGATGCCAGCAACACAAACAGAGGCTTAACCTGCTGTGCCACAATGCCAGGCCCTTGTACATATATTTAAACACTTTGATTTGCCCTGACAAAATCTTACCTGTGAAAAACACACAGAAACTGATGTTACATGTGGTAACAACAGACCCAAATCTTTTTATGGGCATATATTCTCATTTATTAGAATTGAAGACATAATTAATTTTTCTGTTTTCCTTCTCCAAGTTCAAGTACTTGTTTTCATTATATAATGATATAAGATGCTTGTATTTACCCACCTTCCATGTATTCCTTGTTGTTTGCATTTTGTATATAATATCCATATCTCTCTTGATAGTCAGTTAGTTGGTCAGTACAGTGGATTCCCTGGGAATATGTAGAAGGATGAAAAACTTAATATAACTGAGTGGTAATTTCAGTTCGTGTTCTCTTCCTTTCCCAGGTAGAAACATTTTTTTCCCTGCCTACTGTGAATTCCAACCTAGTAGAATATAGTAGAATAATGGGAACAAAAAGCAGAATATATACACATTGTGAGAAAGGAATACTTATGAGGACTCCTGTTTTCTCCCTTATCTCTTGGCTCCTGTATCTATTAGTTATTAGTGTGATAGAGCCAGATATTGATTTATGGTTCTGGTTTAGAGAATATAACTTTCTGAATAATACCATCTGACACTGTGGCTAGGAAGCTTGTTTTGCCACAACATCGGCTTCACAAATACAAATTTCTATAGAATTTGTAGTAGAAGGGCTGGTGCTGTGGCACAGTGGATTGAACCACTGCCTGCAGCACTGGTGTCCTATATGGGTGCCCGTTTGTGTCTCGGATGCTCCACTTCCAATCTAGCTTCTTACTAATGCGCCTGGGAAAGCAGCAGAAGATGGCCCAAGGCCTTTAGCCCCTTCAACCACATGTAAGAGACCTGGAAGTAGCTCCTGGCTCCTGGCTCCTGGCTTTGGTCTAGTCCAGCCCTTCTCCAGTTGTTGGGGCCATTTGGGGAGTGAACCAGTAGATGGATGATCTGTCTGTCTGTCTCTCTCTCTCTGTCTCTCCTATCTCTTTCTGTAACTCTGCCTTTCAAATAAATAAATAAATCTTTAAAAATAGAATTTGTAGTAGAACAAAGCAAGACAGAATGGATGGTGTACGATTTGGGATAACTTGATTGAATTTGTAATTAATGTTGGAAAAAAGTTATATATAGAGTAATACATACTTTGCTTGAATTATAAAGAACATTAATTCACTCTATGATGTTCTCTACGGTTTTGTGCATACACTTCATCTTATTTCCTAGGTGCATTAGCATATCTCTCGTTTGTCTTATTCCCCCCATTGCTATCTGACATGTTTTTCTTAATGTCTTTCCCTGGTTTTATTTTATCTACTTCCTTTTTATGGGATAGTTTCTATTCAAAGCAAATGTAATATTTGTAGTTTAAAAGAGCCTTAGTATTCAGAATCTTCTTTGTTTAGATTATGGGAGCTTAAAATATGACAAGGATTTTTTGGGTAGCTGGTGATTTTTACCAAAAGCGACAAAATACCCAAAAGTATGTTTAATAGAAAAATAAAATCACAATCCCCCACAGTCTTACTTCCATTTGTATAATATTTTTTATTTTTGTTAGGTTGAAACTCCATTGGAAGAAGCTATTAAATTTTTAACACCGTTGAAGAACTTGGTGAAGAACAAGATAGAAACTCATCTTTTTGCCTTTGAGATTTACTTTAGGAAAGGTAGGCAATTAGGGTATAGTGGCCTTGATAAAACTAATGATGGTATTTCTTAGGTATAGTCACCCAACTCTGATAGCGTCATCCCTGTAGAATTTTTTTGGCAAATGTCAGTGCGGCCTCTTCACAGAAATCCCTGCTGTGTACAGAATGTTGTGGGTAGGTACAATGATCATGATTACCTATTCTAGGGTATTAGAATCAAGAATATATGTATGTGTATAACAGGGTTAAGGTCACAAATGATGATTACCAGTGTATGGTTTAATTGAAGAACCGATGATTGTGTGAATAAAATTAGTTAATATATAGACATCTTAAAATAATGCCTAGAGTATTGGGCACTAAACATGATAATGTCCAACAGTGCTATAAAAAAAACATTAAACAAATGTTAGCCAATATTAGCTATTGGTATAAATAAAAGATATAATCTTTTGGCTGAATCTTGATTTTATTTCTAGAGGAAAAGATACATAGAAAGAAACAGTATCTATTTAGAAAATACAACAACAGTGTATAAATGTTGAGTCTGTCCAAATTGGAGCCAAGTAAAAAATAAAAGAAGGGTCTTAAATGCAAGGTTTAGCATGCTAAGAATAGATAGTAGATAATTAAATTGTATAGTATACTTCATTGATACAATCTGAGTATTCTTTGGAAAAAGAAGCTTATTGCTAAAGAAGTTCATATTGAAGAGAAAGTAGTAAATAAGATGAGACAGTGTTATTGAAAAGGAAATTGAGTAAGGTGGTACTTCTCTATATAGAGTATCCCTTTAAACAATCATGTTTTTCAAAAGTAGTGTTGGGGAAAAGTTACTAAATGACATTTTATCTATGACATTGACACAAAACCAACTTACTTATTTAGATAGGTATGCCATACAGGTGGCTGGGAGGAAATAGATCAAAAGGTACTAGGTTGTCTTGATAGAATTCTGATTAAAATATTTTCTACATATTTTCAATCATGTTATAGTTTGGAAAATATGCTTAATAGTCAAGTAGTTTTCGGACTCTTAGTATGTGTGCTGCCGAAGCAAGCACAGTTTTCAGACTCTTGAGTTAATAAACTCTCCTTTTTAAAAATATTCTTAAATGGAACTCCAAAGTGTGAAATACAAAAGCAGCTCAAATAGGGAAGAGCAATGTAAAACTTATTCAGTTGGCTTCTTGGCTGTGTTCTAGCCTAGAAAGGCTCCAGCATTTGGATTCCATTGCAGTAATGTGAAATAGGTAATACCAGAGGGCATGAGAGTATTTTTAGCTTTCTGAGTGTTGGGGGCAAGGTTAAAAGAATTTTCAGAGAGCCTGGACTTTTGAACTTTGACATTCAAAGAATGGGACTAGATTAGCAGTGGTTATAGATAATAATTGGAAGTGGACTAATTAGTATTCAAGTGCAAATATCTACTTACCAGGTGTAAACACTACTGCAGCTTGAGAATACTCATGGGGGATAGCAAACAGAGATTAGAAAATGACTGAAAATAAAACCTTGATCAATATTTTCAAGACAGAAAAGGAATCTGAGATTTGCAAGAGAGGAAGAGTTACGTAGAAGGGAAACCATTTCACTTCTCATAAAGTACAACAAAAATAGTTTCAGGCATATGAATCAAATTTTCTGCATAGTGGGAAATATTGTTTTGATTAAAGACAGCTAGAAAATAAAATTGCTTTAAATTTTGTTTCTTTGTTTTTATAGCATTAGCTCAAATATTGCTGGATGCTACCTAAATTTTCTGTAGTTTATAACACCCTTTTTCTTAGTGCTATTGAGTAATATTAGCTAATGGTGCTGATTAGAGGAAAAGTGTTTGCTTTAATCATCTATTGTGGATCAGATGTGATTGACTAAATTTACATTTTCTATTTGTAAGGTTGTGGCCTTCCAAAGGAGAGGGCATCTTTATCAAATGATGAAAATTTCTCTTTTCCTTTTTATAGAAAAGTTTCTTTTGATGCTACAGTCAGTAAAGAGGGCATTTGCTATTGATTCCAGTCATCCCTGGCTTCATGAGTGTATGATTCGACTCTTTAGTACTGGTATGTTTTTGTTTTCTATTACTTAAATATTAAAGTAGGTGATAATGACTGTATAAGTGATTTGTACAGATTTATCATAAACTCATTTTAAGTTGCTACCAATTACATGAGCTGAGGGAAAAGCATGGCTTTTTGGGTTGAAGGTCTTTTAAGACTGTAAATGTTACTTGGTTTTGACAGAATTTTTTGGTTCAGATACTTGAGAATCAGACCTTTGTTCCTGCTAATGAAAAGTTAATATAAATTGAACTTTTGAATCATATTCCATTATATAAAATGTCTTTGTAAATTGTTTTAAAATTAAAGAATCTCTGAAATTGACTAGTTTTCTCCTTACCGTCTTATGGATCTGAATTTGTGTCAGTTAGGTTAACTTAACACAATTCTTTGACCCAAAATGTTTTATTACCTTAAAACAACCATCTGTACTTATCAAATACCTGTATTCTGAAAGTTTAATATATCAGCCTTAATTTGATGTAGGACTACATAATTTTAGAGCCCAAAAGTCAATTTTATTCTATTTCCTCATTTTAGTATTGGGAAATCTAACACCCTAAAAGGTTAAACTGTTCATCTTAGTTAACATGGATGTTTAGTAATGAAGCAGGGACTAGAGCCCAGGTCTTCATATTCTTTCTACTCATTTGAGTAACCTGTATCCCAAATGCTTTGGGACCAGAGTGTTTCAGATTTAAAAATATTTGAGTACCTGATATGTAATATATACCTTATGTATTATGCAAAGTTGAAGCTGTTATACAGGTTGAACATCCTTTATTCAAAAAACCAATATCCCAGATCCTTCATGTTTGAGCACAGTGATGCCACAAGTGAAAAACTCCCTATGTAACTTAGTGTAACAGACTGCATTCCTAATACAGGTGCACCTATAATACTATATTAAATTATTTGGAAATAATATTAAGATATTTATTGTTGATTCCATATAATATATGAAAATGAAAAAAATTTAGCAGGCATCCCAGTCTCTGAAGAAATGCAAGGCTATCACTTTTTTTTTAAAGAACATTTTGTTAATTTCTAAGAGAAAGCACAGCCTTATTTACATTTTACTTATGCAAGTCAAAAAAAATGCTATTATAGAAAGAATTATAAAAGATATTTTTCAGTTTTCAGAAATTCTGAAAGTAATAATAAAGGTTAGAAAAAGTTCTAAATGCTAGTTTTAATAGTTAGGAGTATATGTAAACTGATTTCAAAAAGAATATATACACTTTTTTTTTTTTAAAGATTTATTTATTTGAAAGAGTTACATAGTTACGCAGAGAGAGACAAAGAGGTCTTCCATCTGATGGTTCACTCCCCAATTGGCTACAATGGCCAGAGCTGTGCCAATCCAAAGCCAGGAGCCAGGAGCTTCTTCTGGGTCTCCCACACGGGTGCAGGGGCCCAAGGACTTGGGCCATCTTCTGCTGCTTTCCCAGGCCATAGCAGAGAGCTGGATCAGAAGTAGAGCAGCCAAGTCTTGAACAGCGCCCATATGGGATGCCAGCGCTTTAGGCCAGGGTGTTAACCCACTGTGCCACATTGCCGGCCCCAGAATATATACATACACTTTTACCATTGGTTCTGAGTATTAGATTTTTTTCCTTGAAAGGTAGGAAAAATAATAAATCCTTTGGAGTTGTCTTTATTTTGAAATAAGAATTAAAAATGATGTATTTAAATATTATGTTTTCTTGTAATTAGAGTGTATTTTCTTCCAATAGTTGGTTTCAAAAAAATGAAATACATATGGACTTAGAATTATTAATAAGAATTAAGTATCTGTGGTGGCTATGACCATTACTTTAGATGTTCACCTGAAATCACTGTCATGAAGAGAGCTTATAAAATAATCCTTATTTTGATTGACTTTTAGGCATAGAAACTAGATGGTAACTGCAGTGATAAACATGCACTGTCTCTTTGGAAAACCTTTAAGAAGTTGGATAAACTGTTTATCATTTTACCTTTATTTTAATATCTTTTAACTATGTCTTGTTTTTTAAGGTTTATTTATTTATTTGAGGCAGAGTTACAGACAGAAGGAGAGAAAAAGGGAGAGATCTTCCATCTGTTGGTTCATTCCCCAAATAGCCGCATGCAGGGGTCCAAGCACTGGGCCATCTTCTGCTGCTTTCCCAGGCCATTATAAAGGCATTGTGAAACTGCAGACAAAGTAAAGGCACCTTTGTTATACTCTTAAGAGTTTTTCTTTTTCCTATTAAAGATTTACTTATTTATTTGAAAGGCAGAGTAAGAGAGGAAGAAAGAGAAAGAGATCTTCCATCTGCTAGTTCACTCTCCAAATGGCTAAGCCAGTTAGCCAGGAGATTCGTCTAGGTCTCCTACATGAGTGCAGGGTCTCAAGTACTTGAGCCATTTTTGCTGCTTTCTCCAAGCCATTAGCAGGGAGGTGGATTGGAAGTAGAACATCCGGGACTCGAACCGGCACCCTTATGGAATGCCAACTTTGTAGGCAGCAACTTTACCCATTATGTACAATGCTCTCCCCTCCAGAAAGCATTTTAGACAAATCAACAAGGCCCATGAAAATAACGTGTTTTTTTTTTTTTTTTATGGAAGCTGTATGGTTTTTTTTTGAGATCCTATGTTCATTGTAATTGGTTATAACCTGCTTTAGTAACTTTCTCATCTCTGCTCCTTCTCTACTCTGAAAAACAAGTCCAATAAATTGCAAAAACCAAGTTGAAATACAGCCATAATAAAGGTTAAACTAAATTATTTAGTTAGTAGCTCATTTATTTGAACTACTTAGTTCTATAAAATAGTATTCACTAATAGTATATTAGTGAATTATTAATAATTTTATACAGAATAT